GTATATATCTCCCAAAAATCTATATCAACTCAACCTTTAACAGGTGCAATACGGCAGCTGGAGAAGCCCAAGGTACAGTGCAATGACAACTCACTGCCAGCAACAGGGCCAGCTCAAGTGTTTTACTGTCTCTCTTAGTGAGGTCAAACACACCTCTCTCCTCCCCAGCGTTGGTGACATTGACTTTCATTCCGCCTCCACTTGCTCCCTCTCTCCCTCGTCTCCCTTTCTTTCATTGCCTCTGTCTCCCTCCCCTACTCCTTCTGTCTCCCCCAACCTCTTCACGTTCTCCCTGCATCTGCCTCCCCTCTAATTCACGGCGTTTAAAGCAGCCGGGGCTTTTAAGGGAAGTTAATTGCACTCAAATTATGTTCGACCGCAAAAGGAGTGAGGGAGCAACGCAGGAGGGACAGAGAGATAGAGGAGAGATAGAGGGAAGAAGGGAGGGATGGATGTCAGAGTGAGGAGATAATTACGCCAGAGAGGGACGCTGCGATTAGGGTCACTCTTTCGCTCTCTGTCTGTCGAACAGCCCAAACATCACATTTGAATGGTAGTAAACAACTTGGCAGGTGATCAGGCTCTTGTTTTGAAAGGGTGAAACTACGGCCAGGAGCCAAACTTGAGAGAGGAAGACGGAGAAGAAGAGAGAGAGAGGAGAATAGACGGGAAAATGAGGGGTTCATTGCATCTGTTATCTGTTTGGTTTCCATGGTAACATCCTCACCTGGTTGAAAGGTTGACACTGTGGCGGTGGAAAGGAAGACGATGTGTCTATGTTTATGTATGGAGATGTTTAGGTGTGTGTGTGTGTGTGTGTGTGTGTGTGTGTGTGTGTGTGTGTGTGTGTGTGTGTGTGTGTGTGTGTGTGTTGTGTGTGTGTGTGTGTGTGTGTGTGTGTGTGTGTGTGTTGTGTGTGTGTGTGTGTGTGTGTGTGTGTGTGTTGTGTGTGTGTGTGTGTGTGTGTGTGTGTGTGTGTGTGTGTGTGTGTGTTGTGTGTGTGTGTGTGTGTGTGTGTGTGTGTGTGTGTGTGGTGTGTGTGTGTGTGTGTGTGTGTGTGTGTGTGTGTGTGTGGCCATTACTCTTGGACTTAACTGGGACTAAATTATGTATTAGACAGAGGTATAATTAAAATCATTCAAATGAAATTTCTATCTTTTCTTCTCGTAAAGCGCTGGGGAGACTCCGAGAATTGACCTGCGAGTCAGACTATAATTAACGTGTCCGATCGCGCCGCGTCCCATTCTGTCTCCTATTCCCACAATGAAATTAAACCTCGCTGCAGAGTCCTTGGAAGCTAATGAAAATGGGAGTGTTACAGAAAGGAGCCATCAAAGCCCTCATGTGCATACACAGGGCTGCATCCAGGCTTATACACCAGCATGTACATATGTCAGCCTGTCAGGAAGTACAACGGACAAATGTATATTCACATAAACCATTTGAAAGGATAGTTTCAGATTAATTGTTTTCTTGTACTTGTTTGCCACAACATAGTCGGACGGGCAGTCAATTATAGCTCATTAGTCGTTGTACAAAGTACTTTTCCACTTCAATCAATCAATCAATCAATGTTTATTTATATACCCCAATATCACAAATGTTACATTTGTCTCAGTGGACTTCACAGTTTGTACAACATATCAGTATGACAATACGACACCCTCTGTCCTTAGACCCTCACATCGTACAAGGAAAAACTTCAGAAGAAAACCCACAGTTTAAAGGGGAAAATGGGAGAAACCTCAGGGAGAGCAACAGAGGAGGGATCCCTCTCCCAGGACGGACAGACGTGCAATAGATGCCGTGTGTAAATTGAAAAGATAATACATTTGCAACATAGGTAGTCCACTTCTCAGTACAGTAACTTTTAAGCATTCAACCCTTACAGATACACGAAAACACATTGGTGCCCCCATTTTTTTTCACTTCATGCACTGCTCGTTGCTCGAGAGCTTTTTGCACAATCTTATGTTTCTTGTCTCATCTTAGTTTAAGTGATAATACAGTTTTCATTGAGCACAGCAATGAACTTGGTGACTATACATACAAAATGACATACATAGATTTATTTTCAAATAAGGAATTGTTTTGGGGTCACTCCCTTTTCAGATTTAGATAATATGGCAACACTATTGGTTTGTCAACATCCCTCTGGGTTTGTTCTGACATTTTTCAATCCATGTTGGTGAGGACAATGATAATATTCCAGAAAGGAAGGGGGTACAATTATGAAAATAAAACCCAGGTTAGATAATCTGAAAATGTTCCTTTTTAAATAATTTGGAATGATTAGTTATTGTTTACTCACTACATGAGTTTATAATTAGACGTTCAATATTATAAAGGTGACTCAATTTATTTATTTAAGGATACAAACAGAATCATGCAAGATCCTCCTCAAACACACACAGACACACACATATAGAATTTGGGGTTCACAGCACCACTACAGAAGGATCTTTGTTCTCAGAGTGAGGTACGATCACCGCTGTGAGACTCTCTCTTCACATGTGCACACATTTGTGCATGCACACACACACACACACACACACACACACACACACACACACACACACACACACACACACACACACACAGGTCCAGTGTTTTGGTTTCCTGGCTGCCCTATTGTACCCTGGCAGTCTTTAATAAATGGTCCTCTGTGTATTTGTGTGAGTGTGTAGACTCATCCGTCAGCCCTCCTGGCCTCATGTCACATCCAGCGTTTCCTTTGCCCCGTTGACACTACTCAGCACTACTGATCGCCCGCCGTCACCTTCACTCCTCTAGGGATCTGTGGCATCAAACTCACAGCCACATGCACACTCAATGTCTTTCTTCAAGGCGTGCACAAACTAACATCACAGTGTTTGTGCGTATCCCTTTTGATTCATCCTCATATGGTCAAGATGGGGGTTGCTTCCTCCAGAATCCCCAGCGCTGCAGCTCCATCGCTGCCCCACAAGGGACCCTGATAGGCAGGCAGAGAGCGAGAGAGCGCCCCATCCCCCTCCAGGCAGCGACTGGCTGGGCTGAAGGGTCCCAGCACCAGACCCCCTTTCATAGCCCTGAATGGACTAGCCTTATTTATATTCACACTCAGTCACACAGGGGGAGCCCAATCTCACAATGCCACTGTGGCTTTGTCCGACAACTCTATATTTGTGTGTGTGTGCATGTGTGTTTTCGTGTGTGTGTGAGGTTGTGTGTGTACTCGGGTATTTGTGTTGTTTAATCGGAGGGCATGTTGCCGCTGTGTAGTCTGTGCATGAGAATTCATTGCTGTGTGTATTCCTTAAGTGTGTGTGTTTGTGTGTGTGTTTTTGTGTGTCTATAGCACTAATGGAATGCCTCCCTCCTCTATTCACCGAACCCACATCACAAGCAGGCAGCTGGGAGATGTGTGTGTGTGTTTGTGTGTGTGTGTGGGTGGGTTCCGACCCTCCCTCTGTGTTCAGTTGTAACCCAGAGCAGCGCTTTCATTTTCCTGTCATAACGTGTATTGATTTCCCTTAGCCTCGCTGCGACACACACACACACACACACACACACACACACACACACACACACACACACACACACACACACACACACACACACAGATATCCAGTGATCCTTGGAGTTGCGCATACACATGCATACTTTCATGTGCCTTTGTACACACACATTTTGTGTACACACATCCATAGTTTTTCCCTGCTGAATAAAGAACATTGTGTTCAAAAGCAGCCCTGTTAGAGTAAGATTAATTCTCATGTATGGTCCCCACTTTTGCAATCACAAGCTTGCAGGTGCACACTCACACCGTCACATACTCTTTTAGACATAAAACAGTAAATACGGCTGATTACTAAATTAATCTTCCACGTCACCGCAGCCCCTCATGCTCAGGTTTGCTTGGGAGAAAGTGATCACTCTAGCCTTCCTTAGTGTTTTCTCATTTTCCCTGCCGTACCCTCTCTGCTTCTCCCGTCCCTATCTTCACCCCCCCTCCCCTACCTATCCACCTCAACTCTATTTGTATTGTAATTGCCTTGGTAAACAGCACCACTTTGGCACTGAAGCAGCTCTGATAGCTTGTGTTTGGGATGCATTAAGAGTGGCGATGCAGACGCCATGAGTGTGTGCGTGTTTGTGTGTGCGTGTGTGTATGTGCCTGGCGGTAATTGACTGGTGTGCGTCACACAGCACCCCCTCCTTATGCTGCTTTTTGACACAAACGTTTCAGTCATTTCCGTTTGCCAGACATGATTTGTTCAAGTTTTGCTTTTCATTTCACTTCAGATTTACAGACGACATAGAGATGCAATATTATTACAAAAACCCCAATAGGACACAAGTCATATTATCAGATATTGTTGTATAATTACTACTAATCCAAGCTTTAGTAAACAAATTTCAGTGGACTCAATCAACATGATCTGATACCTCGTCTTTGTAAATATTGAATATGTACCTTTTTCTTCTTAGAGTTTTCACCTCTTGTAGTTATTTTCCTTATCCATAAAAGTTAACAGATTGAAACAAAACAAAGACCCACATTATGAGTATGCAAACACATGAAACAAGACTCAATTTAGTTTAAGTATTTCATGATGTGATTGAATTGACTAGAGAAATAATAAATATTTGGGAGTGGCGGAGATGTCGAACAACAAAACTCCACAGTGGGACTCAATGTCAGTATGTTACAGGATCCCTAAACCTATAGGGCACTGCTAAAACACTCTTATACAACATTTAGCTGTACAGCATAGCAAAGTTATTCCTTAGAAATTGGATATTTTGTATTCAACATGCCTCTACAGTGCAACACATGCTAGATGGAGAGATATTGTCTCAAATATATACTGAAGATAGTACAATAACATGTGCATCTGAGAGATGATAGCGACTTTTTACAACAGTCTGTTTATAATAGCACTTTTTTTGTGGTATCAACGAAACATTGATGTCAGTCAGTGTCTCATGTGTGTTTGTCTACTTTCTCTCTGCAGTACGACGATCATCTCATTCTCTGGCTACTGACATGTTTGAGCTGCACCTCGGGGCGCACCTCCTGCAGGTAAGCACACACACACCTTCTTCTGTAAAGAATAATATGATATTATTTCATATCATAAAACTGTCTCCGAAAAGGTCAAACTGCCCTATTTTCAGTGATGTGATAGACCAATTGGTTTTGAAAGTAGTTGATTTAGCTTGAGAAATAGGATGATTGGACCACAAGGTTAGTTTGATTTAAAATGTACGTTGACAGACAAGCACATTGGTCTCTTAAGTGACTGCAGTGGACCACTGTGTGTCGGTGATGTGTGAGGTCACAGTTTGTACCAGCTCCAGTCTTCCTACCTCAGACTCTCAGACTTACATTTCCAGGCAAACTCCTATCACATGCTCTCACATCCACACACATGGACTCCCACACACCTCATATACCTCAGATGCTCGGACGATAGCATTGGCTGCCGAAGAATGCCTCTCTTTGCTCTGACAGATGAATGGAGCCTGAGGGGGTTTCGGGAGCAGGAGGGCTACAGGGATGACGAAATGCAGGATGTAGAAACAAAGAGGAAGTGTGAAGAAGGTAACACTTCAGGTTGTAGTTAGAATGAAGAGGGGGGTGAGGCAGGAGAGACTGTAGCTCCAAGCAGGGAGGGAGAAAGAAAAGCTTGAAGGAAATTAATATATTATGTCCTATGTAAAGCTCTTTGAATTGCCTTGTTGCTGAGAGGTGCTATACAAATACATTTGCTGAGTAGGAATCAGGACGGAGTGGGAACACGTAGAGAGAGAGAAAGAAAAACAGAGGCTGAGCATTTAGAAGTGATGAGGTTGGGGTAAAACAAAGAAACATTACATATGTCTGTTCTCCTCTGGCATTTTAAAGAGGAAGGGAGGCTTAGGGAAAGGCGCTGATAGAAATCAAATTAACGCTCCAGAAAAACTGTATGATTCTTTCCTCCCAGCCGTCCTCCTGCTGTAATAGCCTGATAATTGCACTTTAGTTCTCCGACATTCAGGCGGCTGGTTTCTCCTCGCCGCGACACACGACGCCCCACACCCCGGCCACACATTTGCATACTGGATGTGTCAGTTGCATAAATTACCACTGCCACTTTAAGCACGGGCCGCCAAAATAGCAATCATTCTTCTAGAGCAAAGTGGCCCTGGTGTGTGTCTATGTGTGTGTGTCTATGTGTGTGTGTGTGTGTGTGTGTGTGTGTGGTGTGTGTGTGTGTGTGTGTGTGTGTGTGTGTGTTTGTGTGTGTGAGGAAGAGAGAGAAGCTGACTTCTGGATGCTTGTTATGACGATTAATATTATTCTCTGAAGCAGTCCTCTCTAATGGTCTGGCTGTATACCTTTCACTTCTCATTAGAATCACTGCAGGCTGTAATGACTTTGGTTCTATCTTTCTGTGTGTGTGTGTGTGTGTGCGTGCGTGTGTGTGTGTGTGTGTGTGTGTGTGTGTGTGTGTTGTGTGTGTGTGTGTGTGTGTGTGTGTGTGTGTGTGTGTGTGTGTGTGTGTGTGTGTGTGTGTGTGTGTGTGTGTGTGTGTGTGTGTGTGTGTGTGTGTGTGTGTGTGTGTGTGTGTGTGTGTGTGTGTGTGTGTGTGTGTGTGTGTGTGTGTGTGTGTGTGAGATCCAGGAGGATGCTCTGGTTCTGACTTTGTTACAGTTGATTGAAACAGCTCTAGTCTATAAGCTCAGTTTCTCATGTCTCGTTGCCGTGTGTGTGTGCGTGTGAGAGAGTGCACACATATGTGGCAATTTTGTCTCTTCTGCTTTCTCTATGTTTAGTTATGAAGGCCTTTTTGACAGCTGTTGTTGTGTGTAGCTGCCGATTGCAATGGGAGTTGTTTCATGTCTGTTCATATTCATCCGTGTGTTTGTTTGGGCTCATGTGTGTGTGTGTGTGTGTGTGTGTGTGTGTGTGTGTGCGTGTGAATTGAGAAAAGAGGCCGAGGGGTGACGGGTTGTTTGTTCTCTAGCTCATTGTAATTTGTTCGATACACACTAATTGCTCTAATTTGTCTGTCTTGTTTCTGTTTGCCTTAATGTGTGTGTCCGTGTCGGTGTGTGTGATGTTTATTCTTTTTTTTTCTATATGCACAGTCCCTGGATGGCTTTGTGTTCGCGGTCAGTCAGGAGGGACGTTTCCTCTACATCTCAGAGACCGTTTCTATCTACCTGGGACTCTCACAGGTAAGACGACCTCCTTCCACACACACACACACACACACACATACACACACACACACACACACACACACACACACAGTTGAATAATCCTTCATATACAAGTGCATTTGCACATGTGTGCCTATCTTCTGCTTACGCTTTCATATCCCCTCCCAGGAGTGTGTGTGTTTGTGTGCGTGTGTGTGAGTGTGAATATCTTTGACTGCACTCTTCGCTCTCATCTCTGGAGTTCAACTCTCACGGGGACAATGCTACTCTCTCTCTCTTCCTCTCTCTACTGCCATGTCTCCCTCTCCAGGTGCTCACCTCTGCTGATTGCCTGTGGCCTCTTGTACTGTGAATGTTAAGTCCTGCCATTTTGCCCAGATGCATAAATAATAACAGTAATTACTGGCCCAGCAATCAAAGTGTCGCCCCAGCGCGCTGGGCCTGTCTCGGGGAACAAATCGATAGGCATCTTAAAAGCCACATTGATTGTAGGGAGGGGGAAAAACACCAAGGGGGATGGGAAGATAGATAGAGACAGCCGGAGAGAGAAAGAGAGGGGGAGGAAAGGAGGAGAGGTGTGATAAGAGACAGTTGTTTCGAAGTAAGAAGAATCGGTACAGCATGAGAGACAGAGAGAAAGAGGGAAGTTCGTGCTACAATAACAGAAGTAGCTGAGTGCTTTTTTTAAGTGATTGAAGTTCTGCCCTTAGCGGCTTTAAAGGATACGTTTTTGTACTCTGTCTTAGTAGAATAATCACATGCTACATGCACATTGAAGGAGTTATAGGTAATTGTCATAATTTACTGGCTATAAGGTGGCCACCTCCAAACATGACTACACTGTCAGAGATGTGGGACAAAATCCACAGACCTCGCTCTGTATGAATATAATATGGGACGTGCTTTTTGCTAATGAAAAGCCAAACAGATTCTTCCTTCTGGCTGTATGTCGTTTTGTTTCAGGACACCACACAGACATTATATGACTAATTGATTAAACCAACTCAGACTGCTGAAAACTGAAAACGTTCACCCATTGATGGCACCCTTGCAACACCAGATAGATTGTACAGACCGTGTGGTTTTTATACTGATATTCCCAGCTGTGATTGTGTTTGAAATGCTATGACACAGAGAAACAATGTAAGGTTTGCATTGTCTTATTGTAGGGCTGAACGATATTGAAAAAACAACTTATGATTAAAAACAACTTAACTTACGATTACTTTGACTGATATTGCAAAAGCAATATGATTTGCGATCTGAGAGGTCAGGATCATTATTGCATCATCATTCTGATTTTCAATAAAAAATATCTCTATGATTTGTGTGGGGATTTTTACTAAACAAAGAATTCTTAAGTCTGTAGAAAATGATATGTAGGCTAGCTAGGACACCTCCGCAGCGGTACAATAATTAACTTTAAATTGTATTTTAACACTCTTTTGCAATACAAAAGATTACTTCTTTCCTTTCATTTATTTTTTGACAAAAAGCAGTATTTGTTTGGATCGAGTTTGAGTGGGGATGTTTTTGGTTGAAATCTCTGAACACACCCAGGATCACTGATAATAATCTCACTATTTGCCTTCATTTCCTTTTCCAAAAATGTGGGAGTTTGTTCAAAGATTAATTTACAATGTTGTTGGGTGTGGTCAGAGATGTGCTCTGTTGCATCTTTAACCACACCCAACAGTGATGTCACAGTGTACTGACAAGTTTTCAGATGTTCCTGTCACTTTTTGTAGGTGATATAGCTCTGACATGCACTTTCTAAGGAGGGGTACAGCAGCGAAATGCATAGGTTCCTTATTAGAACAGGACACATCAGATAATATCTCCAAAGTCATTAAGGAGAGGAGAATACATCTTTATTTGTACATTTGGGATGTGTATAATTACATTATGCACAACAGGCTTCCTCTTCTGTTGGAGAGACCAGAACAAGAGTGGTTTGTTTGCACATGCCATATACCTTCTTAGGTCTTCACCTTGCCAAAGACAAATACATAAATAATGCATACATAAACTCACACATACAGTTGCAAGAAAAAGTATGTGAACCCTTTGGAATTACCTGGATTTCTGCATAAGTTGGTCATAAAATGTGTTCTGATCTTCATCTAAGTCACAACAATAGACAACCACAGTCTGCTTAAACTAATACCACACAAACAATTATATGTTTTCATGTTTTTATTGAACACACCATGTAAACATTCACAGTGCAGGGTGGAAAAAGTATGTGAACCCCTAGGCTAAAGACTTCTTCAAGAGCTAATTGGAGTCAGGAGTCAGCCAACCTGGAGTCCAATCAATGAGACGAGATTGGAGGTGTTGGTTAAAGCTGCCCTGCCCTATAAAAAATACACACCAGTTTTGAATTTGCTATTCTTAAGAAGCATTGCCAGATGTGAACCATGCCTCGCACAAAAGAGCTCTCAGAAGACCTACGATTAAGAATTGTTGACTTGCATAAAGCTGGAAAGGGTTAGAAAAGTATCTCTAAAAGCCTTGATGTTCATCAGTCCACGGTAAGACAAATTGTCTATAAATGGAGAAAGGTCAGCACTGTTTCTACTCTCCCTAGGAGTGGCCGTCCTGTAAAGATGACTGCAAGAGCACAGCGCAGAATGCTCAATGAGGTGAAGAAGAATCCTAGAGTGTCAGCTAGAGACTTAAAGAAATCTCTGGCACATGCTAACATCTCTGTTGACGAATCTACAATACGTAAAACACTGAACAAGAATGGAGTTCATGGGAGGACACCACGGAGGAAGCCACTACTGTCCAGAAAAAACTTTGCCGCACGTTTGAAGTTTGCAAAAGAGCACCTGGATGTTCCACAGCACTACTGGCAACATATTCTGTGGACAGATGAAACCAAAGTTGAGTTGTTTGGAAGGAACACACAACGCTATGTGTGGAGAATCCAAAGGGTTCACAGGGGTTTTTCACAGGGTTTTTCTTGCAACTGTATACACACACACACACACACACACACACACACACACACACACACACACACACACACACACACACACACACACACACACACAGATTACAACATATAAAGGCTAGAACTAAGATTGATTGTTGTAAGCCTGGAGCCAGAACCAAAGGACAATGCAGAGAGACACTTTTGCGCGAGAAAGAAAACAAAAGAGTGGAATAGGTGTGAGAATGAAAGACATTGGTAAAGAGGAGAGAGAGAGTCTGACTGTGTAAATAGAGTTTAAATGTGCGCTAGGAATGAAATTCGCCTTGGGATTGCCTAGGTAAACAAGACAGCCGAGGGTTTGGTGGAGATGCTAATAAAACAGAGCTGTTCTTATCAGCTGAGCAGATGGCCTAACCCATCACATCTACTCAAACAGGGCCTGAGCCATCAGCATTCTAATGAAATTATTTATGATCGAAGATTACGTTCAAAACCTTGAACATACAAAGCCAAGTTTACCTTCCTGAAAAGATGAGAGCGGACAGGGATGGGGGGGTTTATGATGAGAAAGAGAGACAGCCAGAAAGGGCAGCTAGGAGTTGAGAAGATGATTTAGTGGGAAACATGAGAACAAGTATACAGTGTGTTTATGGACATGAAGCAAGAAAAATATTTTTAAAAAAAAGAAAAGGCGGGAGGGAGAGGACAAAAACACTCCGATATACTTTGTTGGCGAGTGGAGGCAGACTCAGGGGAGAGAGGATGGACAGACAAACAAATGATGTTCTGAGTGAGAAAGTGTAACTGGTGGTTTGTTTTAGAGGGCATGTCGCCCCTGAGGACCGCCCCTGCCCTGCCGTCTCCTGTCCCCCCTGTCTGACCCCTCTGCCCTGGCTTACACACGGGGCTTCTCCCCTGACAGGGGGGTTGCTTAGCCGGCTTAGCCCAGGTCAGGCACCTTGACCAAGGGCACAGCCTGCCGCCCATTCCCCTGGTGCCGGCACGTATCATTTCTCTTCTCACCGGGTCTCCAGACAGGAAGCACAGGGATAAACCTGGGAATGCCACAACGCAGATCAGGGGTGGGGAGGAAGTAGAGGAGGAAAGAGATGGATGGATGGAGTTGAGGAAGAGAAGACAAAGGCTGGAGAAGATGAAGAATTGGGGGGGAGGAGAGATGGAAATGGGAGAGAAGGAAGGAAAGGGGCTGGAAGGAGAAAGAAAAGGGATAAATGGGGTAAAGAGAAGGGAGGACGGATGGTGGATTAAGGGAGGAGAGAATTGATCTGGGAATGGTTAGTATGCAGCTCCCCCTCCCCCTCTCCCCCTCTCCTCCTCCCTCCCTCCCTCTCTCCCTCCCTCTCTCCTCTCCCATCAGTCAGTGAGGGCTGAGGGCTGAGAGTGTGTTGTGGACCACTGCCCGGATGCCTCATACATATTAAAGCCCCTACTATTATTTATATCATGTCTCTCCTTCCCCTGCTTGCTGCCCTCCCCTTCAGCCCCACCACACTGCCATACATACGTGCACGTGCATGTCTGCGCACACACACACGCACACACACACGCAGGTTCACTGACGGACAACTAATCACACAAACAATGACACACAATGACACGTGGAGACACAAAAACAGACAGTCTAGTCACATACGCAGGGAAACAGAGGCGCCGTGTGCTTGCATACTCACAAACACACACACACACACACACACACACACACACTCAGAGAGATTTGAATGATCTCGGTCTCTCCTCACGTCTTCCCTTCGCGCCACATTCTATACCTGTTTTTATGTCTGAGCCTGACTCATCCTCTCAATCGCTCCGTCTCTTTCTCATCTTCTCCTTGCTGCCTGGTGTTTTTTTCAATCCCTCCCTCCTGCCTGTGATGGAGTGATTTTATACGGATAGGTCTTAAGCCCGTAAAGCCCATAAGGGCCTGTTTGTCTCTCCACCTTGTTTTCCAATACCACGGGGCCCTGGGATTGTGTCTCTTTTAGATGGCTGGTCCACTGTTCTGAGAGGTAAATGTAGCCCTTGCTTAAAAGACAACAAGAATTCCCTTCGCAGAGGAATCGCTATTCATAAATACAGACAGCTGGCCTACAGATAGACAGACAGACAGACAGTCAGACAGGCATATCTCGATATAAATCGTAATAACAGATGTCTAATGTAAGGTTCATCTCGAGTTTCACAAACCAGACCCAGTCCATTTACATGTCAAATGTAATTGACTTGTGCATCTACGCTTCTTCTATTGATGCAACATTTAAACATTAAAGAACGAGTCAGTTTTAATGTCAGAATCAAAGGGAATGCCGCAGAAAAATCCAGCACCTAATAATTACACTGCTGATGTTATATCTGCATAATTAAGAGAAGATGGATCAGAAAGATTTAAAAAAAACACTCATCCTGTAGATTTAAGGTGTTTGTAAAGCTTTCTACTTAACATATTTAATAAACCAGATTTTTTTTAAAAACATTATTGACCATTACATTTAAATGTTTTATGAAATTATAAATAATGTTCAGATACACTATATGTCAAAAGAGGGTTACAACTTTGATTTTGTCCTTTTTCTTACAACTGTTCATTTCAATTGATAATGCTATCTAATGGTTATCACAGTAATGACTGCCAAGACTTAATGCAATCAATATTTTACTATAACAATGCCAATATAAAAGTGGTCACTCATAGTAATGAAATCACCACTTGAATCTGCAGCTCCTCTCGGCTCTACAGAGTTTAGAAGTTTCAGCTCGATGTGTTGCTGTCCAGTCCGCAACTTCACTGTTTTCAATCACTCTCACGGCTCTCATAGTATCTTTTTTGCAGCAAAATCTATAGCTGTTTTCAATGTCAACCTCCAAAGAAAAACACTGCACACCACCTGCTCAGCGCCAAGCAGCATATTGAAATACTTAGCATCTACCTGGTGAACACATTGGAGCTAAGGAGACAATTATCTCCATCAGAAGTTGATAGGGACCAAAAACTGCTTAAAAGAGAGGCAATATTGGACTGAAATCACCCAGTTGGCACATCAACATCTTTTAGAAAAAGAGACATTATCAACAATAATGTCTCTTTTAGATTCTGCAATGACATCAGTTATTTCAAAAATGAAGAGCACTAAAGGAATTTAAATAAAATCTTGCTGATGTGAATGGATCACTGTCACTGCCAGCTATTACCACAGCCTCTATCAGTGGCTAATACTTCCTACAAGTGTATGTATCATATAACAAGAGATAACAGGATGATGATGACAACAAGGAAGTGTGTATTTTACTTTGCCTTTCATTACATGTCATTTGTTAGATGCTTTTATCCAAAGTGACTTACATACATTCAGTACTGTGGACACAACGACATGCTGACTGCAGTGGGACTTGAACTTGCTACCCACTGATTCAAAGTCCAGCACTCTATCCACTGAGCCACAGCCGCCCTTTCAAACAAGTAAACAGATCTCTGTGTCCAGTATTTGAATTGATGATGCTTTAAAGCGTCAGGGTGTCTAGTGGCGTACTGAAAAATACATACATTATGTTTGGAACTCTTTCCATGCGTTTCCTTTTTTCCTCTTTAAACAAAGAAATATGTATTATTTATATTTCCGCCTAAATAGATTGAGAGCCATTTTACAAATTAAAAATTCTGGTACTTTCTCTGTATGTTGGGATATTACTCAATATCATCAAATCAAGTATTTTGTTGTATATTTCCACATCCCTTAAGAGATAAGGCCCTGTAAGTCTGGGGAACCTTTATTTCTTGCCTTATTATCCCTTCCTCGCTGGGGTTTATTCCATCTTTAACCCTCTCTGTTCGCTCATCGCACACCTCATTCCTTCGCTCCCACCTTCCCTCTTCCCGCTCCTTCCTCTCCCCCGGCTGTGATGTCCTTGAGGGGCCTGCTGAAGCTCCCATAAAGCCTGCAGTAAATGGCTCTAATCCGGTAATAAATGGCTGTGTCCTACAGACAAGGGTGTGAGGCTGCTGCAGCCACAGCTTTATCAGATGGAATGGTATTGGCACACACATGCACAGACACACACACACACACACACACACACACACACACACACACACACACACATTCACATATGTAATAGAAGCTGCATGCATGTGTGTAAGCATGCATCCTCTTTCTCCCTCCTTCCTGTTTCTCTCTCACACACACTCATTTATACAGCTTCAGATGGAATCACACCTGCTCCAATTGTGCTGCTTTTATGGATGCCATGCAAGAGCAGCGCCATTATTACCTTTAAATGATTAGAGATGCAACGATGATGCATTATGATGATAGGATCATATAGAGCTGTATGAGCTGTTGCGCTGGGATACACAGTAACTGAATGAAGGAGCAGGGAGTGACGGGGGGAATAAGAAGAATAGTAATGTGACCTTTGGAGATACTTGGAGTTCAACTGTTTTTAATCAGCAAATACAATTGATTTTTTATCTCCCCTGGTTTTATTTGTGTAATACTGTAGTCACTTGGTCCTCTGAGATTCAACTTAAATGTATGTGTGTGTGTGGTGTGTGTGTGTGTGTGTGTGGGTAGGGATGTCTTACAACCGCTACACTCCTTGTAGAGTTGTAACCCAGAGCAGTGCTTTCATTTTCCTGTCATAACGTCTATTGATTTTCCCTCTGTGTGTGAGTGTGTGCGTACATGCAGGCATTTGTGCCTTAAGCTGTAGTTCCTGATCAGCGTGTTTCTCTTCAGGTGGAGCTGACCGGCAGCAGTGTGTTCGACTACATCCATCCGGCAGACCACGTGGAGATGGCTGAGCGTCTGGGAATCAAACCGCATCTGAGGGCCGAAGCCGGCTGCCACACGGGCCCCGAGAGCGCTTCCAGCTCCGCATCCACCTCCTCCCTGGCTGGTACCCCTGAACCCGGTACTGGTCTAAATGTCAATTAATTTTTTTTAAACAATATTTTTATTGAAGTTTTCAAATATAAGGAACATACATAAAACGGTCAGTCTAGGTGGCAGATACAGTGTACTATCAAATGAATAGGCATGTAAATAAACACAGTTCACAATACAGGGATAACAAAGTACAGACATTTTCAAGAAATCTGAAAGAATATGACGTGGGCTACTACACTTTATAATCGTATTCCCGTTGTCCCCCTCCCCGCCCCGGTCTTTGGTTTTATTGATCACTACCAACATTCTTTTTCAAAAACTCCATGAAGCTCCCCCAGATATTTTTCAAAACCTGCCAGCTTTCCTTTAGTAATGTATGTTAGTTTTTTTAAAGCAACAGATCCTTAATATATTTATTCATACTTGGTTTGTTCACAATTTTCCATTCTATAGCTATTACCCTCTTAGCTTGTAAAAGACACAAGTCTATAAGTGCACGCTCACTCTTCTTAGAGACAAAGTCTTTTGGATAAATACCCAGGATGCACAACTTTGTCTGACAAGGGATTTTCAGTTTCGTTATCTGGTTAATCATGTTGAGTGCCTCCTTCCAAAGACTATTGACCACATGACATTTCCACAAACAGTGAAAGAGTGATCCTTTAGCATCGTTACATTTAAAGCATGTGTCTGGGGTCTAAATGTCAATTTATAGGGAGGAAACCTGAAAGAAATAAAGGGAAAATTCAGCTTGTATATTTTCTATATATTTAGTTGTTCTTCTGTTATCCTCACCAGCTCCGTCTAGTCCTCATTCCCCTGCTGACGAACCTCCTGACCGCGGCTTCTTCATCCGCATGAAGTCCACGCTCACTAAAAGAGGCCTGCACGTCAAGAGTTCTGGATACAAGGTGCCTAAGGAAATAATTTCTCATCATCTGAAAACCTTGTATTATGCTCTCTTCCCTATTAACCTGCTTGTTATTGGGGCGGTGAAATAACAAGGGGTGTATTGTGTTTTGCTCGACTAGTGTTTCATAGCACTGTCAACTTGGTCATTTCAGTGTGTTTTATGGCTGTGACCTTATTTCACACTGGACCGCTGCACATAACAGATGCTGTAACACCAGAGCTGCTGCATTCTTGAGCTCAGATCTGACTTTTTATTGTGTTTGTGTTTCATGAATGTTATATTTCCTGTTGTTGTTAATGTTTTTTTCTACGTCCTTTGATGCAAATTAGTTGTGTGAAATGAATGATGTTTTCTTTTTGTCAGGTAATCCACGTGACAGGACGAATCCGTTACCGCCCTGCACTCGTGTCGAGCTCTGGGCGCACAGTGCGTCGACCGTTGGGTTTGGTTGCACTGGCACACACACTCCCCCCCCTCCTCGCTTAATGAAGTCCGCATGGAGAGCCAAATGTTTGTCTTCCGAGTGAACATGGACCTTCAGGTCACATATTGTGAGAACAGGTAAAGGATTGTTTCTGTGTTTTTGACATTAAGCTGTACTGACATATGAATACATTTGAATCAGTGTATCTATTCTGTTGCATTTATTTACAGGATCTCAGAGTATATGGATCTGACCCCAGCAGAGGTGGTGGGACACACCTGTTATCACTTCATCCATGTAGAAGACCTGGAAAGCCTCCGGCAGAGCCATGAAGACTGTAAGTGAAATGATGCATGTGCAGTAGATACAATCCAACCCCATCCCTGCTATTCTATAGTGTTTGAACTTGGGGAGCCTGTTGAAATGTCTTCCTGTCCTGTTGTGATAGGCGCCCTCTGCTGCCAACATCATGAACTGTCAAACCAATAACGGACTTATTTTCCCATCTCCTCTACCGTCTCCTGTTTTACATTATTTCTTTCCATCTTCTTTCCTCTCAGTGCTGAGGAAAGGCCAGGTGGTGACCAATTATTACCGTTGGCTCCAGAGGAGAGGAGGATACCTGTGGATCCAGTCCAGTGCCACCATCTCCATCAACCACAAAGCCCCGCATGAACGCAACGTCATCTGGGTCAACTACATCATAAGGTCAGTACAACCACAGCCTATGCTTCACTCCTGCTGATATGAACTACGTTTCTGTATGCAGGCACCATGCTGTGTACAGAGATCCTTTGAAGGGATGGCTGATGAAATGCAGAGGGATTATTGGAAGAGTTTCACTCGCTCCAACACATGAGAAAATTGAGGATACTTAATCCAAATAGTGACATCAAAGCAAAGCACATTAACGGCTATTTGACATTTTTTACATAAATATTAAAGATAACAACTTTATATTTTAAATGATGAGATGTCAAAAAATGTAGATCTCTTTATTTAATCGATGACCATGTCCTGTTGAAAGGATTATTAAAGAAAGCAGATTCTAATCATTTGAGGTTTTACAAGTTTTCACACTTCAAACTGTTATTATGGAAAGTATTTCTTTAATAAATGATATTAAAGAAATAAAATAAGAATTATTTATTGATATTGTAGGGTCTTAAATCATTAATAAAACTTAAGTGAAGTCATTACTCTTTCTGGAATGAGTTACGGCTGCCTGTCCCCACACTGCCAACTTTTAAATCCAGTCTTTGAACACATCTTTATTGCTTGGCTTTAAATTCACTTAAAGATTTGGTTCATTGCTTTTACTATTTTATTGTCTTTTTATATTTGATTGGAGTCTTGTTTTAGGGTTTTTATTGTGTTTTATTATACAGCACTTTGCTTAACTGTTGTTGTTTTCAAATTAGCTTTATAAATAAATTGGATTGGATTGGACTGCAGTCTGTAAACAGCAATCTAGCATTACTTACTCACTATTCAATGTCATTACTCTAAAGACATGATCTTATTACTCTTTGATTTAAAGGAAACATTTAAGGCTCTCTGCCTTTCTTTCTAGTTTGTTCCAATTGCCTTGTAAATGTAGTATTGCTTTTTTTATTCCACAGACACTGCAGTCACCTCGAAAAAATATGCTTTCTCTTTATTTCCCTCTTGAATACACACACGTATTCACCCAGACGCTGATGCAAATATACTCCGTAGATACATGCACACTTTGTACACACACGCACGAACACAGTGCATAACAACAGCCGAGCAGTCAGACAAAAACAAGAGGAGTAGGCTGAATTTCAATGCTAATTGGACTGAAGCTATATAATTACAACAAATGGATGTCAGAAATTTGGGGCTGAATGGTGTTTTAGTTAATTAGAGCTGTAATTACAAGAGCTCATTAACTTCTCCAACAGCCTCCTCCTTGTCTGAGCTTAACTATGTATAGGTGGGCTGCTGAGTGGGGCATAGTGTGTGTTTCTGTGTGTGTCTTATAGGGTGGGGTCTGCATATCTATCTGTTTGCGTGACAGTGTTTGTGAATGTGTGATTAAGAGCTGTTGTTTGGAGAATTGGATGGATGTGTTAGGAGGAGGTTAGAAGGGTTTGAGGCAGTTTGGCTATTGGAGGTTGTTATTAGGCTGATTATATGTTGTTTCCATCTCTAAGTATTCACTCAAATCAGCACGACACTAACGTTTTTAGCAATAAGTGGCTTCTAAGTGGTCTACATTTTCTCCCCCCCTCTCTTTTTTCTCTCTCTCTGTTCATCCATCCAGTCGAACAGAGTTTACAGACACTCCCCTGGATATTCTGCAGCTACCAGAGAACGTACGAGCAGAGCGGCTTCGAGTTAGCTCGTCCCCCACCGACAGCTCTCCGCAGGCCCGAGGTAGGACGCCGCGTACACATTAGCCCCTTCCCATGATGCTCACTGACACACACCAACACCTGCCTGTGCGTCATCTTATCATAAAAATCTCCCTTCTTCCTCAGGCCCGCAGCCAGCGAAGAACTCAGTGGGGAAGAGTGACCCCGACACTAAAGGCAGAGAGAAATTCACCGCAGCTGCCATCCAATCAGAGGACAGGAGGAAGCGCCTGCTGAGGTCCGAGCCCGAGGGTCCTCCTCCCGAAACCCGCCGCAGAATGGAGGAGCTCCGTCACGCGGAGGAGAGCGTATCGGCCTCATCTGACATGGCCAGCGAAAGTGAGGGGGATGAGGAGGAAGAGACAGAGACAGAGTGGGACCACAATGACAGATTGAAACAGGAAGATGGTGGAGGAGGTAAACAGAGTAGGGGGGGAGACGCCCCCTCTAGGGGGGGACAGGGGGAGCAGGGTGCACAACGGCCGGGCTGTGATCCAGCAGCTGAAGAGCGTAGTGACCCCGTCTCCCCTGCCCGGCAACCCCGGCATCAAGACTGAACACGAAGCCCTGACCACCGGGGGGCGCTGGGGGTCCCACACACACACCACCCAACAGCAGCCCTCACATGCACACACACCCTCCAGCAGCCTCAACGGTGACAGCCCCACCACCCCGATCCCCGACTCTTCTTCCAGCAGCGATGCCCCCCCCAAAAGGGTTGTTCACACCCCCGTCCCCGGCACTGTCCCCCGTCATGTCCGTGTCCTCCCCGCTGCCCCGCGAGGACAGGATTTTGTCGGGGGTGCTCAGTCGCAGCAGTGGGGGTGCAGGTTGCGCTCCTGACTTTGAGCTGCTCCAGAGACTGGCTGCAGGGGGCGCAGCGGGGAGGGTCCTCTTCCACCCCCTCGCCCTCAGCCCGCAGGGCCCTCAGAGCCTCTACGCCCCCAGCACTATCCGCTACGCTCCACCTGAGCTGCCCCCCTCCCACCACCACCACCACGGCGGTGGAATCAGCGATGGCCTGCAGCTACGCTCGGACCACCACAAGGGACCCCCGACAGCCTTCTTCCCCCACCTACAGCGGTTGGCTGGCCTGCCACCCTTCAGTGGTTTCTCCCCGTCTGACAACCCCTTCTCCTCCGGCCTGCCCTTCTGTATGAATGGACTGAGGGGGGCCGCGGGCTCCGAGGAGGACTGAGACTTAGAAGGGAGGAGGTGAGAGGGGAAGATGAAAATGAAGGATGGAGCAAAGTGACAGACCAGAAAGAGAGACATTGAAAAGGGCAGGAGAGACAGAAGTGGCAGGACATTAAGCCTCATTAAGCCTCTAAGGACCTTACTAATTGGACAATGAGTTGAATAACTGCGATATAAAATATGTGACAAGTCGTTGCCATAGGGAATTATTGTGTCCTCGCATTTTGGACAAGTGACAGTGACTCAGAGAAAACACGACATGGAAACTTTTGACTGGTTGTCCCTCAAGACTGTCCGTCTCTACAACAATAATGAACTCTGCTCTGTGTCTTTCTCTAGATGACTCTGTTAATTTCTGTGTCTCTTCCACTCAGAGAAGCCATATTGTACATAGAGACAAAACCATAAAGACCCTCAGCTCACATCCTCATCACTGTCCCTACAATTAACACAATTAACCCTAAAGCCAGTAGAAAGAGATGGACTGTACGAATGAAAGTAACTTTGGAATATACATTTTTATTATTGCAGTATTATACAAATCATCTGTTATGCTGAGATACAGGTGAGAGTTTGATTATTGGGTTTCTTTTAAAATAGACAAAGAAAGCCCTCTGGTGTTTTTGTATTGAGATTCAAAATGATAAGGATAAAAAAAATCTCAAGTATTCATCATTCAGCCATACTTAAAGCACACTGTTGGGATAAATATGAATAAAGTAGTCCCAGACATTCCATCATATATAAGGGAAGAAAATGCAATGCAGACAGGACGTTATTTCTGTTGTTTGTTTATAGGCCATTTGTTAACTGAGTATTCATTATAGTATATTATGTATGATGATGCGGTTGTGTTTGAAGCCATATTCTTGTTTTCATTTTTTTTTTTAAGTTTATTGATTTTTGTTTGTTTGGAAGGATCGTGTGAAAATGGTGTCTTGACAGACAAAATAACATAGTTTTATTGGATGTACAATGTCATCCAAATACCTTTTGTATTATTCTCTAAAAAATATATTTCTGAAAATGTTTTTAGGAGGGAAAATGGTGCTGGACACAAGTGTTTATTATCATTTAAACCTCTGTTTTTTATAAGCACTTACTGAAATTTGTTCTGGTGTGAACTCAAAGCACTTCATCACTTAACACTCCCTGTGTGGTCCTGTTAAAACAGACAACAATGCAAGAGTGGTCACTAATATCATAGCCCGACTGCACTCTAGTAGAGGTAGAGAAGATAATGGTCATTTGAAAGAGGCAGAAAGATAAACAGACCTGTGGTCATTAAAAGACGACCGTTAAAGGTCGATAAAAATAACCTGAATTATTCCGATGTTGGTTTTATTTTAATTCAGTCAACTTGAAGTCAAGTTTTAAATTAAAAAGTGGAAATATAAAACACTTTAAATTTCAGATGACACTTATTGACTGGAATTCTCAGGACTGAAAATCCCAAACAAATCGAAAACAGTTTTTGTATGAAAAATGTCCTTTTTTATTTTCTTTAATGTTTTGAAATGAAGTTACACACAGTTTGGGGTTGCCTAAAGAATACTTAAAAAAACGAGAATCTTTATTCCACAATGTAATATTTAAAATCTGAAAATGTTAGTCTTTTCAAAAAATGCTGGTTATAATACAGCCAATTGCATTATTGAAAAAAAAATGACAATAATACAAGCAAAGCTAAACATACAGGAAATATCAGATTGCTCTCTAGCACTTTGGAATGAAGTCATTTGAACGGATCTACCATGTAATGAAAATGCACCTAAACTTCAATCATTGTTGAAAACCAAGTCTTCAAAATGATGCCATATGTATTTTGTTTTTCTTCCAAAATTGAGATTACGGTCGACTGTCTGATCTGAGGGCTCAGTTTATGTGGAAATTATGATCTGATGTCTGACAAAAAAGAGAAGTGCACTACACACCCATACTGTAGCTGTCACACGTAAATATGTGTGAGCGCACACATTCTCGGGTGTTTAATGATATATTGTGTGTGTATGACTGCGTGCGTGTGTGTTTGCTTGTACAAGTGTGTTTGGTTTTCTTTTGTCTTTCTTTGCTGAGATAAATAGCTAACCCCTTGCCCATCACTGTGAATCTAACATTATTCCCCATCTTTGTGAATACTCCACCCACTCATCAAATAAAATGAACAAATGTAAAAAGAAAAACAGTGATACAGATGACGATAACAATAAAATATTCCAGTAGCGGAGCACAACTCAAGGTTTGGTTGTTTCTTTCTTGCTTCTTTTCAGCACATAACAATTCAGATATATGAATAGGCATGAAAGATACATGTTACATTGTTAAATGAGGCTTCATATTTGTTTGAAATAAATCACGTTGGACACATTTGAATGTAAACAGAGTTCTCTTCATATCAGCTGCTTAATGCATTTTACGAAACTTCAATATTTAGGCCAATCATAAATGAATGGACAGCCTTTAATTGTTTATGTAACATAAATTCAACGCATAGCCAAGAATAAAAAACACAAAGAACAAAACAGTGGTAGAATAAATAATAAAGATGTTTTGTATCATTGCAGACTTTTATGGGCAATCCTGCTTATCTCTGGAGTCGGCAAAGGGCAGTACAACACACAGTGAAATTAATGTCCTGTAATATTCAATAATATCCTTAATATATAAACTAAAGTGTGGAGCAGGTGAGAGCGACCCTTTCATGAAGCGTGACATCATTTGATTGTGTTTACATCTACAAAGACTTGAATTCTTCTGAAATGAACAAAAGCACAGCAAGTACATGGAGAGCATCTCACTTAGGAGAAACGATATGCGAGCGTGCATCTGTGTGTGTGTGTGTGTGTGTGTGAGGGTATGTGTGTGTGTGTACATTGGTAGTTTGCTTGTGTGTCTGTGTGTGCATCTCCAGAATTTGCAAGTGTGTGTTGTCTGAAGCAGCCCCAGGGAGGGGCTCTGACATTGAAGACGGGTTAAATCCTGTTTTACATTCAAGTGGCAGGCCCTAGTTCATTAGAGTGAGGATCATTCCTCCTCAAGACCAAAGGAAGCGCATACTAAACAAGAGCAGTTGTTGGGGAGAAAATGCCATTGTACGTGCAAAGCCGTGTGTGTGTGTGTGTGTGTGTGTGTGTGTGTGTGTGTGTGTGTGTGTGTGTGTGGTGTGTGTGTGTGTGTGTGTGTGGTGTGTGTGTGTGTGTGTGGTGTGTGTGTGTGTGTGTGTGTGTGTGTGTGTGTGTGTGTGTGTGTGTGTGTGTGTGTGTGTGTGTGTGTGTGTGTGTGTGTGTGTGTGTGTGTGTGTGTGTGTGTGTGTGTGTGTGTGTGTGTGTATGCTGAAGTGCTGCTGACGGAGCTACACAACAACCTCTGGTTTCTTCTTTATATCTTTCCTTTCTGCGGACTACAGTCTTTATGGCGTGGAGTGAACAGAGCACATTTTGTGTCAATGTGCATGTGCATATGTCTGTGTGTGTGTGTGTGTGTGTGTGTGTGTGTGTGTGTGTGTGTGTGTGTGTGTGTGTGTGTGTGTGTGTGTGTGTTCAGCACGCACAACTCATGGCAGCTCTCCTGACTGTCTTCTGCTCAGCCTGTCATTGAGTCACCCACATGCCCTTTCTGTCACTGACTTTGATGGCTTATCTTACCCCCTGAATTGGAGTCGTGCTCCCGGGGGAAATACCTTAGCACATGTAAATGCATTTGAAAGAGTAAAAATATGGGTAGGAATAATAGAGTGAGGAATGGAGGGAGACACAGAGACAGCTTCCACCTGACATGGGCTTACTGCACCTCTACCATTCCCTCTTTTCCTCCATCCTTTCCCTGCTGTTTTTGTGAATGTTTCCCAACAATGTCTTCTCCTCTCAGCCAGGAGAAGGCCAATCCATAAGTAATGCAGGTCTTAAGGCTGATGCTTTGATCCATACGTGTGGCATTTAACACCTCAGAGCAGATGAGCAAAATAAGCAGAGGTTATGGCTCCTACTTTCAGCGCTGGGAGTGTATATGTGCAGCACAGGTTGAGAGATGTATGAGCTTAGACCTGGACTTGGAGCTGTGGCTGGTGTTGTGGTTTCTATAGATGCTCGGGGTACGGGGGTGGATGGTGTTTGTTAGTGAGGGCGCGTCTCCTGCCTCTGGGCGCCCTGCCCTTTAGACGCGCCAGGCCTCAGGAGCCTCCTGCATGCCAAGCAGACCTGTGCAGTCAGATGCAGCCAGGGAGGAGAGACGAGGAGAGGAGGGAGGGGAGGAGAAGCGAACGTGAGTAGGAGTCCAGAAAGAAAAGGACTGGAGGGCGAAAGGGTAGAAGACGATCTTAAGGAGAGAGTAAAAGAGGGAGGAGAGGGGCTCGAGGGAAGGAGGTAGGGGTGCTGGTAACACTGCAGCAGCCACCTAGACACACCTTGCATGTGAAACACAACTGCACTGAGACGCCAAGGGAATCAGCCAAGGAGAGGAAGAGAGGGTGACTCTGAGGTGAGTCTCAACAGCAACACTATGTGTCGATGGCCGCCAGATATCACAGACCTTCGCCCTAACCCAGTCAGTGATTGTTATCACAGACAAAGCCCCCCCATCACCAAGACTCTCACACACACACATACACGCACACACACACACACACACACACACACACACACACACACACACACACACATACATACACATACACACATACACGTACACACATACACACACACACACACATACACACACACACACACACACACATACACACATACACATACACACATACACATACACATACACACACACACACACACACACACACACACCACACACACACACACACATACACATACACATACACAGACACCAACCACATGCTGCTCAGCTCAGCTCACATCTCCGTACATGCTCGCACAACAGCAGCTCATTAAAGGAATTATGCATGTACAGCATGTGTGTGAACAGTTTGTACATCTTTTGACGTCCCTTGCAAGGAGAGCTTCTACTACACATTAAGGTAAGCCTTGTTTACATAATGAAAAAAATAATAAAATAAATATCGGTACAGGTAGCGGTCTTAATATGTAGTGGTAAGGTGATGCATTTAAAGATGTATTCATTTTAACTATCTAGGAAAGAGAATAATCCACATTTTCGAATGACTTATTTATTATGAGAGCGTATTTAAATATAGAGTGTGTGATCTCAAATCTCCTTGATGTCCTCAGCTAATAGTGCAGATACCGAGGTCATGTCCGCTGTACTTTATCCACAGATTTAATGTTAACTCAATAAAACCATATAAATCATTGAAATCACTTTATCACACTAAAAATGTAAACCTCTTGTAGAAGGGGCCATGCCAAGAAATAATTCTTATAAATGTATTAAAAATAAATAACTGAATATCATATTGACATACGTTGTTAGACCCTGTTATGACCGTTATGATGTTAGACTCCCATTCCCCTACGTTTCTAAACATTGATTGAAGTGCACCTGTGGTCAATTCTATTGATTGGACAAGGTTTGGGAACACACCTGTCTACATAAGGCCTCCCAACTGATAATGTATATCAGAGTAAAAAAAACAAGCCATGAGGTTGAAGCCTGCTGAGGTCAGAGACAAGATTGTGTCGAGGCCAACCAAGTAGAAAACATTCAGGACCTCAGATTGGCCCGAAGGTCAACAGAACAATGAACTTAACACATAGACAGGACAATGCAAGAATGCCTTGGAACCAACTGTGTTAATGTCCTAAAGTGTTTCAAGCAGAGACTGGATGTCTAACTTCCCTGGAGAGGCCTGGAGAGGCCTGGAGAGGCCTGGAGAGGCCTGGAGAGGCCTGGAGAGGCCTGGAGAGGCCTGGAGAGGCCTGAAAATGGCGGTCCAACACTTGTCCTCAATCAGCCTGACAGCATGAGAGGATCTGCAGAGAACACTGCAGAACATCTCTAAATCAAGGTGAGCAAAGCTTGTCACGTCATACTGAAGATGACTCATCAGTTATTGCTGCTAAATTGCTTTGCTTGTACTGAGTTACCTTATGTCAATCTGATGGTTCATATTTTTTGCTAAACTTAAAGGGCCCATGTCATGCTTTTCCGGTTATTACCCGTCCCCTTGTGTGTTATGAAGGTTTTTATGAATGTGAACGGTCTGCAGAGTCAAAAACCCTCAAAGTACACCTTGTAGCGAGTAAAACTCTAACACAGTCTATGCTGCCCCAAAACGCCTCGTTGGAGATTTCTCTTTTTCCATTGTTTGCTTCCTGGGTTCTCTGACGTGTGAACACCCAAATCAACAACAAATGACCGGATTGGCCCAAATGGACCAATCCGCGGAGCACCTCACACACCAGGATCCCTTTGCTAACTAACAGGGAGGCCCATTCCCAAGCTGCCCCCTACACCCTACCCCTACACACTACCCCTCCATTTGCGCATTCACGCGGAGGGTCCGCTATATTGAGGGCTGTTCCAAACCAACGAGTGTGGAGCGGTGTGGAGGGGGAGTGGGCTATCAAGCCCTCAAACAGCGAGTCTGCATCGGTGCTGACTTGAGACCGGTCTCTACCTGACCAGTCTCAACGCTGTGTGTGTCCGTCAGGAAACACGCTGTTTACAAGTAGTTCCAGCAAACATCCACTGATAAACTGCGATGTTAACAACCTCATGATAACCTCATGTTTTAACTTAGGATCACCTGGACTACCTATGTTGCAAATGTATTATCTTTTCAATTTACACACGGCATCTATTGCACGTCTGTCCGTCCTGGGAGAGGGATCCCTCCTCTGTTGCTCTCCCTGAGGTTTCTCCCATTTTTTCCTTTAAACTGTGGGTTTTCTCTGGAAGTTTTTCCTTGTACGATGTGAGGGTCTAAGGACAGAGGGTGTCGTATTGTCATACTGATATTCTGTACAAACTGTGAAGTCCACTGAGACAAATGTAACATTTGTGATATTGGGCTATATAAATAAACATTGATTGATTGATTGATCTCATACCTGTCTAGAAAAAGGTAAATGTGTGCATTTTATTATAAAGTGTATATTTACAGACTGTTGCAAAAACTAGGAATCTTATAAACCTCAGGTTTAAAACTAAAAGAGCTTTACAAGGAAGAGGAACAACACAATGAAAGATGTTTGGAGTTTTATTTTAGTTATTAATTTAAATGTTTTGTCTAAGAGATGCTGATTTGAAACCGTTGTTACATACAGTTACGGCATTTTCTGCCGGAGAGAGGGGAGGCCGTCCCAAAG